ACCGCTGACGGCTGTTTTTCTCTGTTTTCCAGCTGCAATGTGTTCAAAAACAAAGAAAAATTAATTGCTTTTTAAGCATAATTTCAACTCATTGGTAATAAAATTGTAAAAAAATATTTTCGAAGCTGCTGCTTCGCTTACATGCAACATAATTCGTCAATTTAAATTGTAATGTTAAAAAACACAAATAAATTAATTGATTATGCATAAAAATTTTGTAAAATTTCAATATTTTTTTTTAGCATTAAGTGCGTAATTGTACGTGATTTTTTTTTGTTTTTATATTTAATTTGAGTTTTATAGATTTTCTAATTTTTATTTTATTTTATACACACATACATATGTATTTTTTATACATAAAATTTTTTTAATGCAAAATTTTTTTTTATATTGTAAAATTTGTTCTATTTTCAAATTGTTTTATTTTAACTTTTTTCTTATATTTAAATTTTATATTTATATTTAATACATTATACATTTCATATTTTTTTATATTAACAATTTTTTTATGTTTAATTTTTTTTACGTTTAAATTTTTTAATGTTTAAATTTGTTGGTATGTTTTTATATTTTTTTTATATTTTCTATTTTTTTTATGTATTATAAATTTTTCTATATTTGATTTTTTTTATATTTAACATTTTTTTATATCTTACATTCTTTTATATTTTAATTTTTTTTCTTTTATGTTTTATATTTTTTAATATTTTTTTTATATTTTTTATATTTTATATTTTAATATTTTTTTATATTTTTTATATGTTTTATATTTTTTATATTTTTAATATTTTTTTTATATTTTATATATTTTTTACATGTCGCATTAATTATTCATATACACATGCAACGCAAAATAACGTTGCATAAATTCATATTTTCATATACAAACTTATATACACACATAGTTATACATTAAAATATTTTTTTTGTTTACATTTTTTTCTTTTCAATATATTTATTACAAGCAAACATGCACATATACATGTATATGTGTTGCGTAGCTATATGCAAATGAATTCTATTTTGCAACGTTTTGGTTTTGTTTTTTATACACGTGTTTATTTTAGTTTTTGTGCTTTTGTGTGCAAAAGTTTTTATTTTATACAATTATTTACAAGAAATACCTACAATTACATTTACATTTACATACACACATACACAATTAATGCTAAAAAATATATTTTGTATTTTTACATACATATATTTTTTCAATTATAAAAATGTTTATTAAAAAAATGCAAAAAAAATATATATATATTATAAAAGTAGTTTTGAATAAATATGATTTTTTGGATTTATCTCAAAACTCGCAAAAAAGATAAAAACAAATAAACTTTTTATTTTGTGTTTAATTTGGTGTACTTGAATTAATTCACAGTTACAGTTTACCGTTATAAGGGTAACAATTGTTTGTCGAAGAATAAAAATTTATTTGAGCTTAGTAAGAGGTCCTATGTTGCACCTAGGCATTATGGGAGAATATATATAATATATTTCAATTTTCAAAATTTACAATCTTGTTTCAAACAAATTTTCTGCCTTTTCCTGAGGCATCAATATTTCGCAACATTTTGACGCCAGTTAAAAAATATTCCAAGTAGGGTGGTTACTTGGGCAGAGTGGGCAGAGTTGAGTATTTAACATTGTTGTAGCAGCATAAAATCGGTTATTTTTACTTGTGATACAATTGAGTTCAGTTAAATATTTTGTCTTATATTTGAAATTGATAAGTTTTATTCAGTACCACCATCTTTTATATGGACCTTGATTTTCACTATTTTTTATTTAGAAATATTGCATGTGAGTTACAGAAAAAAAAAATAGACAAGTTGTACAATAATATCCACTGTGGTGTTGGCTTAATGCTACCATAGATGTTTTTCATTTTCTGTAGTATCTTTTAGGCTGAAATTTTATTAATATGACGCTTGTTGACAATTGAGTTTTGGTTCATTGCAGTCGGATAGGATATTGATCTTTTATGAATATGTGAAATTTTATTTTTGTTAAATGTTAAAATGACTGAAATATATATTATTTTTTAATCGTTTTGACATCCTTTTCATTGATGAACTTTATTTTTCGATTACTTTGGATAACTAAATTAAAAAAAATATGTCAGAAGTAAGAAAAAACAATAAGAAAAAAAATGTTTAGTTAGAAAAATTTCAAATTTCTTTTCTAATTCAAAATTTTGAACATTTTTTTATAAATTTTGTAAATTTTTTCGAAAAATTAAAAATTTTCTTTTCTTCTCACTTCTGACATAATTAGAAAAATTTTAAACTAATATTTTTTTGTATTTAAAAATTTTGTGTTTTTATTACGGTTTTTTCTCACTTCTGACATAATTTCGCAAAATTAAGGTAATAAAATACATTTAGAATCATATCTAACCCGGACTGGTCCATATGAACTGCGCGCAAAACGAATAAATATATATATTTCTTAATTTTTTTTTTTTTAATTTTAAAAATATCAATTTTCATTTTAAGAGTTTTTAATTCCTTATTTTTTTATTAAAATTATTATTTTTTTATTAAAATTATTATTTTTT